TACTATTATGGATGATGGGAAAAGGAAATTGATGTCGTTTGTCTTATTTTTGTTCGACAGTTGGAATCATTAAAAGGGGATAGCACGCCCAATTGCAAGCAATGTGACGCATCAATTTTACCAGAGGAGGTGACTACTCCGAGGGTTGGTAAAGCAGAGGCAAAAGGTGAAAATGGCAGCCGAGTGGAATGTGGATGCCGGGATATCGGTGCAGAAGAGATAGTGAAAGAGCTTAGAGCGGTTAAGAGGCAGAATACCATAACTCACAGCCTTCTTTCAGTGATGATTGTTGTCACTCTAGTCTGGCAACTCTCCGAGGTGTCCCTGTTTCTCAAAGTCAAAAATGGTTTCAGTCACCCTTTTAGATCATTAGGAAGTATGCTCCTGGGAATGCTGCCAAACCCTACTCCTGGGATTAATATGCAAGACGCAGACAAAAATTCTTCATCTACCAAAACCCACCACAGTCATCCTGTTGACCCTTCGCTTCCCTCCGTCAGAGTGCCCGAGCTTCCTCACCTGGAGTTTCCACATTTGGGATCCAGCACAAGCAGTGAAGGACACTGACTGTCTCGTCCTGACTCTGAAGCTCTTCTTTTAGCTATTACTAAGTTCTTGTCTGGTTCTTAATCGGTGGCCAAGTCAAGGAGAGTGAAATGTGAACTTCTTTGTATCTTTTATTTACCTCTTGTTCTGTTGAACCGTTAGTAGCAGTGCTATAATAATTCTCAATTCAATTTGAGATCGCGGAATATTTTTGGGAAACAGATTTTGCATAATTTGGACAGGAGGAATCTAATTTCATTGAATCATTTCGACTTCTGGTTTCTAGAAATAAAAGATGGCTCTCCTTCAAGGTGGATTCCTACCAGACACCTGTCAGGGTATACATACCTCTGCAGATCCCTTGTGAATGCTTTGATCATTCATTATTGATAAAACGATGTCGGCTGCACCAGCAGTTCCCAATAATTAAAATTGACAGCCAGATGAAATTAATCTGTAACGGCAAAACTTCAGATCACCAACAAATCCATCTTTAAGCCTGTATATGAAGTATCATAACAAACCACCCCGAGTTTCAAGCCAAGGATACAGAGCTCTGCAAGACCAAGGGTCAATTCCTCAAACAACAATGAACCAAGGAAACAAAAAGTGACCATTCCTAGTAACCATGCAATTGCTTATATCTGTAATTCATTGATGGTAAATCTGTTTCTGAGAGCCATAACCAGCTTAACTTAAACAAGTCTTCAATCAAATATGCAACATTCAATTCATAAGAAAGCATCTTTTCACCAACTCAACCGATCACAACAAAGAAGTCTCTTAAATATGGAGAGACATGGAAACCAGAATGAAACATGAAACATAATCAACCCCAAAAAAATTTTCCATTTTTCCATTTAAAATGCCTAAAACTGAACAGAGAAATAAGCAAACTTGTTTTAAATCCTTGACATTGTATTCCCACCCCTCAGATTGATTGTAGTGATTGTTGTCTTCACGCATAGTTCAACCTGAATATGTCATTCAACACATAGAAGCTTCCCTGGGCTGTTGGCATCAAATGGAACATCTGAGAGCAGAAAGCAAGACAAGATATCCTCAGTTAGGAAAGTTGATAACAAAACGATTTTAAAATACCAGAACCAATGCATTGGTAGATGAGAAAGCAGTTAATTTCAAAACAGGGCATAACAACATGCTCTTTGCAACAAGAACATATGTCGTGCACAAATAATTAGGACAACATAAAACGATTAACTACAAATGAGGATGAAACGTATACAAGTTCGCTCCACACAAAAATAGGACATAAGCCACATGGAAATCATCAATGTCCCCTGGTCAATACAGGGGATGATATAGTGGATTTTCATTTTGTATCCTGCACAGAGTCCCAAGAAACAACATTGAGAGAGATGCTAGATAATCATTCAGAGAGTAACCGATGAGAGCACCCTCTGTCATACAATTAGAGTTATCAGTTACTAAAGATTATAAATGAACAAAAAAAAAATCACTGAAGATTTAATCTTTCAACAAATCCAATGAACAATACGCATCATAAACATCATAGTTCATACAATTATTAAGATCCAGATGAATACATCAATCCCCCATTGATATACAATACAGATCAAAAACTCATTCAGAAGATCCATCTAACAAATCGTATCGCGAAATTAACACCACCAATATCGTCATCGATGAAATCAACAGTGACAAATAGATTAGCCCTAGATCCATCACCGAAGTACGCATCTAAACCCTAAAAACCCTAATAAAAAAAAAAGAAATGAGGCAACGACATAACGGAGTTACCTGGCTGAACTTGAGCGCATGCTGTTCGCCCGCGAGCTGGAGGGTACCACTGACGAAGACGAGCATGCCACCGGCACCGGATGGCTGGCAATCGACGGTGGTTATGTTGTGCTGGCACTGCTGGAATGGAAGGCTGGTGAGCTTAGCCACGATGTTCTGAGAGCCTTGGATCTTTTGACCTTCGAAGGTCAACATGGAGCCTTCCTGATAGAGATTGGCTAGACCGGCCCGGTTCGCATCGAACGTCGTATAGTAGTGCTCAACGAAAGCCTTCGCTACTGCGTCGGGATCCATCTGCGTCTTTTGTTTTTTTTTTCTTTCCTTTTTTTTTTTTTTTTTGGTTTTTGCCTGAGCTTGGGCGGTGGCTTCAAAATCACGCTAGAAAGAGAGAGAGAGAGCAGCCAAAGGATTGAAGCCAAGTGAGGCGAGTGAGATAGAGGAGGGAGGGGTTTTTTTTTTATACATTAATCTTTGTAGGAGGATTCATCCAACGGCCGATTTTGAATGACAAAAATATCAAACAGGTGCCTGCCTGCGTGGTGGGTTTTATTTGATTTTTTGATCAGTCACTTTAGACGCTCCTCTTTTATACACCCTCTTTACTGTCTATCAACAGGCTGATCCCCTTTGCGTTGCGTCAGTGTAACGCTGCCTACCCTCTTCGTTTTTTGGACTATTTGACTAAATTACGTCAACCAACCGCGACACTGCTTAAAGGCATTCTGATTTCCCTTTTTATTAAATATCCAAATAAATTTATGAATTAGATCAAATAAATTAATTAAGTTTTTTTATTATATTTAATTAAATTTTTAAATTTTTATTTTAAATCAAATGAATCTCTTTTCACAAACGGTTGATTAATTTTCATTAATTAATAGTATAATTAATATTTTGATGTCAGAACATCTACCATATAACATGTTATTTTGATAGCATTATTATCACATGTCAAACAACATGCCATTAAAACTTACTAAATAAAAATTGAGTTTTTTCATTTTTAACCTACCGCATGTTTTGAAAATGATTGGCTTATGAATTTAAAAAAAAAAAAAAA